ATTTGCAATGTGTTCTTTTAATCTTGTTTCTAATCTTCGTTTTTTTCCTCCAATGTATGCTTTTGGTGGTTTATATGTGCAAGGTATTTTACAAACAACTTCAGTAGTGTTGTATTTATCTGGTTGTTTATTTATGCCATGTTTAGCCTTCCAGATTCTTTTTTGCAAGTTGTTCTAAGTTGGAGCTAGTTTTATATTTATTTTATCAAAACTTTTATTTATATGTTCAAAGAAGCCACGAAGCAATAAAATAAATATAAAACTAGCTCCAACTTAGAACAACTTGCAAAAAAGAATCTGGAAGGCTAAACCTGGCATAAATAAACCAAATAAATACAACACTACTGAAGTCGTTTATAAAATACCTTGCACATGTGAACCACCAAAAGCATACATTGGAGAAACAAAACGAAGATTAGAAACAAGATTAAAAGAACACATCGCAGATTTGAAATATAATAGAATCAACTCTGTTTGTTACAAACATTGCACAACTCATAACTGCAAAATAGATAAGAACGACGTTATAATAGTACACAAAGAAAAAAATTGGTACAAAAGAAAATTTAAGGAAAACCACGAAATTACTACAGACAAAAATAATATTAACAAGAATCTAAGAATAGAAATTCATAAAAACTGGTTACAACTACTAAAATAGAATGTTTATGCAGGCGAGGCTGTGTGTGGCAGTCTGGGAGTGAGTCGTTGCACATTGCGAGGCATGCAGGATGCCGTCAATTTGGCAGGGAAGGGAAGGGGAGTGGGAAGACGTAGTGCGGAAGGAGCCTGACAGATGTCCACAAGATACAACCTATCTATGTAACAGACTGAAGAGGGGCAAAAGCCCGAAATGCGTATCTATATGGATTAAAAGTTGATGATGAAATTATTTGCCAAGTGTCAATAAATTCACCAAGTTGTGACATTGAACCAATCAAAACTAACTCCTGTGTTAAACCATCTGACTCTGATTTAAAAACCATAGAAATTATTAGGCTTCAAACAGAGTGAACAAAATCATGCACCACAAACACAGTCTAACATCCACACATATAGAAAAAAATCTCAAATCTTTAGCATATCTCGAAATTTCAAGATGTCCTGAGTCCAAAAATGTAAAAATTTGGGAGGGGTCATTTTTTGACTGAGCACTACACTTTCCCTCTGTTATATATAACAGCCGGAAAAGTAAAAATTATTGAATTTATATATTGATTGTGTCATTACTTAGAGGAGTCTTTTAGCTTTGGAATAAAAAGTTTCTACATTCTATCTTTATTAGAACTCTATTTATTGAATCTTTTATTCTGAGGTCACATGATGACATCAGAATTTCCGGGTCTCTTTTGGTAACAGAGTTGCAGGGTAAGGAAAAGTCAGAGTTAGTAGATTTTTACGGAACTCACAGCTCTGCTGACCAGAAATGGTGAATGAAAGAAGCTGACCAGAAAGTCAGCTTCTTTCATTCACCATTATCAGCCTTGGTAGTAATGTAATGGTATATACAGGATGATATTTCCAAAGACCCTCTTCGTCCAAAAACACATGCATCCTTTTTCTTTGATTGAATCATGAATTTCAAGGTTGTAGCATACCAATTGTTGAACATAGTCAATTTCAGTATGTGTTAATTGCAGTATATATGTTATGGACTAAGTGATTAATATGGGCATTATTCATAATGCATGGTCATTCATAAATGGCTGGTCATTATGATTCCAATACTTTTCCTTGTTATGTATACATAACAGCTGAGAAAGTAAAAAATATATAATATGATTGTAAAGAAACCATTTCACATCTGGCTATCTGGCAAAAACTAAACATAGTAAAATTTGTAAGTTAGTTAATATGTCATAGAGATAGATGTCTCAGAAATAGGATGTTTGTTTCATTTTCTTATTACTTGTTATTACCAAAACAGTTGAAAGTGTTTGTTTCTTTATTGCATTTTTATTTAGTATCATTCTACTCAATAACATTGTATTTTATTAAGTTAAAATATACTACTTGGCAAAGACATCGAATGTTTATTTTTAAGCTGAGCCCTAGTTGTATGTTGGAAAATGTCATTGGCATGCCACATTTGATATACATGGCAAGGGTTGCTTACCTCTGTACTAAACCAATCAATGTACTGTGCCTATTATGTATTTTGGCCAATTCCAGTACCATCTTAAAAATTATTATCTTGAATACAAACTTAAAAATTTTGTATGGAAATGATATGACCAATCTAACTTACAGATAAGTTATCTGTAAAATTCAATGATGAATCTGCTTTATATCTTTATTTATTTTGTATTTATAACATATTAAATGTTTCATAGGATACTTTCATGTGCTAATCTCAATCATTGTTGTTTTTATCACTTGCAATGTTACCATGATGGAGAATTGCTATAGACTTCAATCCATTATTCCTCTAAACCTGCACATATTCTGAGAAACCAAACAGGAGGGAAAAATGGGCAAAGATACCATCATAATCAAAATCACTGTAATACTGCAAATGACAAAAATAAGGATATATATTTGAAATCATTTTATGGAATGCTTTCAAATGCATATCCTAATTCTAGCTCATGAAAGCATTTTATGAAAAGTTTGAAAAGTTAAATACATTTCATAAGATGTTTTAAAATATATTTCACCATTAGACAATTTTTCACAAGTTATATTAGTCACACTGTCCCCATTCCATCTGAAAAGTTGTATTCAAGATGATACTGGCAATGTACTGTATAGTATAACTACACCCTTTTGTTTAATACATAATAATAATGATTAGATTTAATTAACATTAAGTATCTTGATGATATTTGAGTACCTCTTGACCTTTTACTCAACTTGTAAAAATATATAGAGCAGGTCAAAACTCTGATTTATACTTATTACTCAAAAATATTTCAATTTAGTTATACAGTATAAGACAGATTTTTGAAATTTTAATGTCATTTCTTTAATTTCTGTACAAAATATATATTTTATGTCATGTTATTATATAAACAGAATTTGATGGAATTAATTCATCTTATGAATATTTCTTTAAAATTTTTAAAAATACAATTATATATAGTAAATTATTTTATGTAAAAATTTTTTCACCATTTATGATTTTTAGGTGATTAATTTTTTCTTCTTTTAGTATTATTTCATAGTTCTAATTTACACCTAAAACTTTTGATACATAATATTTTGATAAAATAAACAAAAATAAAATTATAAATATTGAAAACACATATTACTGTATTTAGTTAGTTATAATAATAATAGCCTATCTTTCATATAAAAAAAAATTAAAAAGAACAGATTTCTTTTACCTTGGAATTTGATGACTGTGAAATTAAAAATTTTTTTTGTTATTTAATATCTCAATAAACAAAGTGTTTATCTTACAGGAAATATATATATATATATATATATAAAATGAAACAAATATTTTTACTTATTACTATACAGTGCTATACAAACAGAGATATTGCAATTCCCTTTGATATTTGAATTAAAGTTTCATATTTCACTTGTTTCAATTTTAGTATTAATATAATCTTTCATATTATATTTGTTCAAATGAGATATTGAACTATTAAATCAGTACAATATTTACAACCCTTGTCCATAAAGTTCTGAGACTATTTCAGTATCTCAACTTAGGTAAATGCTATTGTTCAGGATGTTATGTTTGAGTAACTGGGCATTTCATCAGTCTCCTATATCATTATTATTATTTTGCTTGACATCTGCTAGGTTGCAAGGCATGACAAAATTCTCATAACACACCAGTGGCAGCTTTTTGCTACAAGAAGAACGGACATCCAGATTGAATAGCGAGTACTATGCCTGTGATGAGAACCATATTATCTTCACTCTGTGAACTCAAAGAACGATCTAGTCTTGAATCATTCGCCACTAAAATCCTACCCAACATGAATCACATGTACCACTCAACTACTTGCACCCAAGATAAGCTTCACCATCATTAGCATCACACAAGCTGCAATGTCTCTGTGGCTGGTGTTACTAGTTTCACACAGAACTTGATGTTAATTTGCTGTTCAATCTGGACATCCATTCTTCTCACAGCATAAAGCAGCACTGACATGTCAGGAGACTTTTTCTGTTGCACCATGCTGCCTAACAGAGGTCAATCAAACTAATGTCAATGATACAGGCAACTCATGAAATGTTCATTTACTAGAATGTAACATTCCAAACCACACAGCATTTACCTAAGTCAAGATATTAAATCAGTGGATCTTGGAACTTTATGGACAAGAGTTGTATATTAGTAAACTTAAAGATATTATTAAATCAGTTCATTTGTTTAATTTTATTGTTAAACCAAAGTTATCAGTTTAACATGTTTTCACTGCAATTAAAATTCAATCTATACACACAAAAAAATATCTAACAGTTTTTGAAATATATGCAAAAAATTCATTTAAGGATAATTTATAAAATAAATATCTAATTTACTCAAAACTACATAATGACTAAATATTTGAAAGATGAAATTTATAATTGACTCCAATCACTCCAAACATCAATTAAAAATTTAATTTTCATTTAATAAGATGCAATTTAATATAAATTATTCTAATTAAAATATATTCCAGTGTAAATTTAATTTAATTATTAATTTCATAATTATTAAAGTCAATAACAGGTTGACAAGGAAATTTTTGTATAATAATTGTATAAATTTGCTATCTTATTAATTGCTCCAATAATTAGTAAATTTCTAACTAAATTTATGTACAACCCCCAGCAACAAAGATTATTCCCTTATATGCAAATAAAGTTTGATTGATTGATTGATTATTAATTTCATAATTCTAGAATCATTTATTTTCAAAAATTATTTATATCAAGTTATCTTAGAACATGGATAGTTATAATTTAAACATACAATTTTGCAATATTGTGAATAAATACCCAGTTAACATTTTTTAAAATTTAGTGTAAGTAAAACAATAAATAAAATTTTATTATACCTGCTATCGTTAAATTCCTGCCACTGTCCTGAATAAGGATTTTTACAAAAAGCTGTATAATGACCTGAAGAAGTTGAGCCACTATGATTAGATATTGCATATAAATTATATGTTCTCCAGCGATCTAGTAATAAAAATTAAATTATTGCAATTAATATAAGAAAAAATGTTTTTATAAATTAGTAATTATTGCTCTTACATATATTTATCAAAATTTAAAAAGATACACTAAATCAACTTTTCATTGTAATTTAAAGATTTTCATACTATAAAATTCAAAAAATAAAATTAATTTATCAATAAGTTTACATAATTATTTATTTTTCCATTGTTATAATATTTTATCCTCAAATATGAAATAATTCTTTACTGTGAATTACAAATAAAATTTTTATTTAGAATTAAAAATACTTCCAATTAAAAATAAATAAAATTATATGAAATTTATAAGATTTGATTACTTTCATAATAAAAATAAGATACATTTCAAATGACGAAACGTTTGTACTCCTGTTAATACGACTAGAAATTAGTGAGAAAGGTTTTGTGCTGATAATCTTACATTTCAAATAAACGTGAATCACATTTTCTTTCTTTAGGTAAGTATAGCCTTATTCTGTTATCTGGATCTAATATATTCATAATGCCAAACTACTGGATTATTCATCTAGGCATTAATAATTAAAAGGTACATATACACTACAAGTTACAGTAATATCCGTAGCCAAATTGCTTTATATTTAAACATTAAATTAACCTTGTTACAACCTGATGAATAATGTATAAGTTACTAATGTGTAACTAAAAAACAACTCAAATATCAGTAATTCAAATATCAGGTTTTCTCTATCAGGCTAACTCATTCCTGGTCCATCCAAATACCAGTAACACCAACCAATTTCCCAAATAACATTAAAACACTGCAAAAAAGTCTATCAATTAATTAATGATTTTAGCTTGATAAGATCATTAGAGTTTATAATATTTATTAAGTGTTTATTAGTAAGAAGATTAAAGGTTACGTTTGTAAGCAGTACACAACAGATAAGTTTATATAATACTTTCTATTATAAACCATATATGAACTATATTTTCTTTAGACAGTAGACAGCAATGAAAATGTAATTATACTTGTAAATTTTATATTAAAATATTACAACAATGAAAATAAATAAACAAGATAGTAAACTGTAATTAACCATGAAAATTAATCTTGGAAGACAGCACTGAAATTTTGTAATATGGTTCATTAAAATAAAAACCTATATCATCATACATACAACACCAATGAAACAAATGATAACAGATGTTGGAACAGAGTTGCTCTCTATCTTCCAGTTTTAATGGTATAAATTTCAAATTTTTCACAAATATGCTTCAAAGAAATTCATAACAATAGGATTATTCAAATTCAGATTTCATGATGAGCATCAAAGGACATCATTCACTGTCACAGAAATTCAGATGTAGGAAATTAAAATACTTAGTTACAGCTATATTTGGTTTTTACCTATAGTTTAGTCAAAATAAAGTTAAATCAGTACAATATTTACAACCCTTGTCCATAAAGTTCTGAGACTATTTCAGTATCTCAACTTAGGTAAATGCTATTGTTCAGGATGTTATGTTTGAGTAACTGGGCATTTCATCAGTCTCCTATATCATTATTATTATTTTGCTTGACATCTGCTAGGTTGCAAGGCATGACAAAATTCTCATAACACACCAGTGGCAGCTTTTTGCTACAAGAAGAACGGACATCCAGATTGAATAGCGAGTACTATGCCTGTGATGAGAACCATATTATCTTCACTCTGTGAACTCAAAGAACGATCTAGTCTTGAATCATTCGCCACTAAAATCCTACCCAACATGAATCACATGTACCACTCAACTACTTGCACCCAAGATAAGCTTCACCATCATTAGCATCACACAAGCTGCAATGTCTCTGTGGCTGGTGTTACTAGTTTCACACAGAACTTGATGTTAATTTGCTGTTCAATCTGGACATCCATTCTTCTCACAGCATAAAGCAGCACTGACATGTCAGGAGAATTTTTCTGTTGCACCATGCTGCCTAACAGAGGTCAACCAAACTAATGTCAATGATACAGACAACTCATGAAATGTTCAGTTACTAGAATGTAACATTCCAAACCACACAGCATTTACCTAAGTCAAGATATTAAATCAGTGGATCTTGGAACTTTATGGACAAGAGTTGTATATTAGTAAACTTAAAGATATTATTAAATCAGTTCATTTGTTTAATTTTATTGTTAAACCAAAGTTATCAGTTTAACATGTTTTCACTGCAATTAAAATTCAATCTATACACACAAAAAAATATCTAACAGTTTTTGAAATATATGCAAAAAATTCATTTAAGGATAATTTATAAAATAAATATCTAATTTACTCAAAACTACATAATGACTAAATATTTGAAAGATGAAATTTATAATTGACTCCAATCACTCCAAACATCAATTAAAAATTTAATTTTCATTTAATAAGATGCAATTTAATATAAATTATTCTAATTAAAATATATTCCAGTGTAAATTTAATTTAATTATTAATTTCATAATTATTAAAGTCAATAACAGGTTGACAAGGAAATTTTTGTATAATAATTGTATAAATTTGCTATCTTATTAATTGCTCCAATAATTAGTAAATTTCTAACTAAATTTATGTACAACCCCCAGCAACAAAGATTATTCCCTTATATGCAAATAAAGTTTGATTGATTGATTGATTATTAATTTCATAATTCTAGAATCATTTATTTTCAAAAATTATTTATATCAAGTTATCTTAGAACATGGATAGTTATAATTTAAACATACAATTTTGCAATATTGTGAATAAATACCCAGTTAACATTTTTTAAAATTTAGTGTAAGTAAAACAATAAATAAAATTTTATTATACCTGCTATCGTTAAATTCCTGCCACTGTCCTGAATAAGGATTTTTACAAAAAGCTGTATAATGACCTGAAGAAGTTGAGCCACTATGATTAGATATTGCATATAAATTATATGTTCTCCAGCGATCTAGTAATAAAAATTAAATTATTGCAATTAATATAAGAAAAAATGTTTTTATAAATTAGTAATTATTGCTCTTACATATATTTATCAAAATTTAAAAAGATACACTAAATCAACTTTTCATTGTAATTTAAAGATTTTCATACTATAAAATTCAAAAAATAAAATTAATTTATCAATAAGTTTACATAATTATTTATTTTTCCATTGTTATAATATTTTATCCTCAAATATGAAATAATTCTTTACTGTGAATTACAAATAAAATTTTTATTTAGAATTAAAAATACTTCCAATTAAAAATAAATAAAATTATATGAAATTTATAAGATTTGATTACTTTCATAATAAAAATAAGATACATTTCAAATGACGAAACGTTTGTACTCCTGTTAATACGACTAGAAATTAGTGAGAAAGGTTTTGTGCTGATAATCTTACATTTCAAATAAACGTGAATCACATTTTCTTTCTTTAGGTAAGTATAGCCTTATTCTGTTATCTGGATCTAATATATTCATAATGCCAAACTACTGGATTATTCATCTAGGCATTAATAATTAAAAGGTACATATACACTACAAGTTACAGTAATATCCGTAGCCAAATTGCTTTATATTTAAACATTAAATTAACCTTGTTACAACCTGATGAATAATGTATAAGTTACTAATGTGTAACTAAAAAACAACTCAAATATCAGTAATTCAAATATCAGGTTTTCTCTATCAGGCTAACTCATTCCTGGTCCATCCAAATACCAGTAACACCAACCAATTTCCCAAATAACATTAAAACACTGCAAAAAAGTCTATCAATTAATTAATGATTTTAGCTTGATAAGATCATTAGAGTTTATAATATTTATTAAGTGTTTATTAGTAAGAAGATTAAAGGTTACGTTTGTAAGCAGTACACAACAGATAAGTTTATATAATACTTTCTATTATAAACCATATATGAACTATATTTTCTTTAGACAGTAGACAGCAATGAAAATGTAATTATACTTGTAAATTTTATATTAAAATATTACAACAATGAAAATAAATAAACAAGATAGTAAACTGTAATTAACCATGAAAATTAATCTTGGAAGACAGCACTGAAATTTTGTAATATGGTTCATTAAAATAAAAACCTATATCATCATACATACAACACCAATGAAACAAATGATAACAGATGTTGGAACAGAGTTGCTCTCTATCTTCCAGTTTTAATGGTATAAATTTCAAATTTTTCACAAATATGCTTCAAAGAAATTCATAACAATAGGATTATTCAAATTCAGATTTCATGATGAGCATCAAAGGACATCATTCACTGTCACAGAAATTCAGATGTAGGAAATTAAAATACTTAGTTACAGCTATATTTGGTTTTTACCTATAGTTTAGTCAAAATAAAGAAATTGTGAATTACAGAATCTGTCAGAAACACCTGATGGTTTTTGAAATTAGTTTTGTTTCATGCATGCTGAATGTCACTGTAATACTAACCACCATTGCATTTCCTATGCTTTGCAATTCAGTCAAGATGGAGCACTGGTCCATGCAACATCACACTGTGGTAGTAGAGATGTTTATAAAGGCAGAGTTAATCATAGTAACTCAATGCAGTTTCTGACTACTGTTTGGTAGGCATGATGCACCTTAGTTGCAATACTATGTTACTATGGGTGTCAAAAGGCATCAAGAAGGAAGTGTGAAGGACACCAAACCTCCAGGATGTCATCATTCAGTTCACACACCTGAAAATGCAAATCATGTAAAGGACACCATTGTCCCACAGTCCATGCAAATCTGCTCTGAAACAAGTACTTGCTCTTAGTGTGTCAGAGAGCAGCATTTGAAGAAGTTTGCACAAAGATCTACATTACCGTCCTTACAAAATATGGGTTGTCCAACATCTTAGTGAATGGGACAAGAGGAAAAGACTTCAGTTTTGCAATGAGTTTCTGGAATTAATGGAAATTGATGAAAACATACTGATAATGTCAGATGATGTCCAGTTCCATTTGTTGGGATATGTGAACAAACAAAACTTTTGTTATTGGATTGAAAGCAATCCAACAAACTTCACCAATGACCTCGGTATAGTACTAAAATGATTGTATGGTGTGGCATTTCATCCAATGGCATTATTGGCCCATATTTTTTTTTTTTTTTTGAAGATGGAGAAGGCAATACTGTTACAGTGAATTTGGAGTGCTACAAAACAATGTCAAAAACATTTAATTTGTCTACAAGGACCTAATTTTATTACTAGGACTTATTATACTGGTGACTTTGTTCTGCAATTTAAGAAAACACATCAGAAAAAACAGTCTTTATTTTTCACCTGAACACACAACTGTTTTTTCTGATATGTTTTCTTACATTGCAGAACAAAGTCACCAGTATAGTAAGTCCTAGTAATAAAATTAGGTCCTTGTAGACAAATTAAGCACTAAACATAAGATAAAGACACAAAGGCATATAATTTGATACATAAATGTCAAAAACATTTCTAGCATGAGATTAATTTAGAGCAACAGCAGATACCACACATGAATCCATGGTAGTTCTCAATAGAATGTTTCCTGGAAAGATCATTTCTCACTTTGGAAACATCAATTGGCCCACCTGCTCACATGATCTGATGTGTACTGTGGGGTTATTTGAAGCAGGAAGTTTTCCTTTGAAGGGAATGATGAGCTAAAAGAAAGAATTTGCAAGTGCATTTAAGAAATTCCTAGAGACATATTGCAGAAAGTTATATAATCATTTCCTAAACAAACGTATTAATTGCAAAGGTAGACACTTAAGTAATGTAATTTTCAAGTAGTAGTATTTTGTCCTAATTCTCCAATAAAAGAGGAATGTATCTTTGCTAAGAAATAAATATTTACATATTCCTACAAAATGTTATTTTATTTTACATTTCAAATAAACGTGAAACACATTTTCTTTCTTTAGGTAAGTATAGCCTTATTCTGTTATCTGGATCTAATATATTCATAATGCCAAACTACTGGATTATTCATCTAGGCATTAATAATTAAAAGGTACATATACACTACAAGTTACAGTAATATCCGTAGCCAAATTGCTTTATATTTAAACATTAAATTAACCTTGTTACAACCTGATGAATAATGTATAAGTTACTAATGTGTAACTAAAAAACAACTCAAATATCAGTAATTCAAATATCAGGTTTTCTCTATCAGGCTAACTCATTCCTGGTCCATCCAAATACCAGTAACACCAACCAATTTCCCAAATAACATTAAAACACTGCAAAAAAGTCTATCAATTAATTAATGATTTTAGCTTGATAAGATCATTAGAGTTTATAATATTTATTAAGTGTTTATTAGTAAGAAGATTAAAGGTTACGTTTGTAAGCAGTACACAACAGATAAGTTTATATAATACTTTCTATTATAAACCATATATGAACTATATTTTCTTTAGACAGTAGACAGCAATGAAAATGTAATTATACTTGTAAATTTTATATTAAAATATTACAACAATGAAAATAAATAAACAAGATAGTAAACTGTAATTAACCATGAAAATTAATCTTGGAAGACAGCACTGAAATTTTGTAATATGGTTCATTAAAATAAAAACCTATATCATCATACATACAACACCAATGAAACAAATGATAACAGATGTTGGAACAGAGTTGCTCTCTATCTTCCAGTTTTAATGGTATAAATTTCAAATTTTTCACAAATATGCTTCAAAGAAATTCATAACAATAGGATTATTCAAATTCAGATTTCATGATGAGCATCAAAGGACATCATTCACTGTCACAGAAATTCAGATGTAGGAAATTAAAATACTTAGTTACAGCTATATTTGGTTTTTACCTATAGTTTAGTCAAAATAAAGAAATTGTGAATTANCTTCGCGTTGAATTTTTGTCGATGTTAAGCCTAACGAAGACTATTGTATCGTTAAAAATTATTTTTTTATTTTGTACAAACAAAATAAATATATTGAAAAATATAAAAACAATAAAAAATTATACTTCAGAATCAAAAACGTAAAATATTTGAGTAGCCCAAGACATAGCCAAAGATTGCAGCGCCACAGCATTGGCAAAAATTTAAGCCGACTGGAATTCTTTCGGATAATCAACGCTCTACTGTAATAATAATAAATTATTATCTACTATTTGTCTTTCTAAAGTGCATTTACTTATTGTAATGTCGTTATCATTGAAGATATTTTGTCATTTCATAAACACAGGTGATTTGGCTTCAAGCATTACATCTTTGTGTTAATAATTGCTGATTTTTGAATTTTCTCTTTAATAAACTATTGTACATATTTCCAAAAATGTTTTCTTTCTATCCTTTATATAGGGTCATTATATTCATTTTCTACTTCTCTCACACATCATTTATCCTATAGAATTATATATGTCCAAATTATCTCAAATTCATATTGTTAATATTTTCAGTAATTACATCTGTATCTAACTTCTCTCTCTAATAGCAATATTTATCATCATATTCTTATATTATTTTTATTCATTTAATCTGACTGTTCTTAATATACTGACTGCCATGTGAGACAAATAGAACTCACAATAGGTAACTGACTCCGATGCCATGCGAGTTATATATGACTCCATTGCAAGTTTATGTTTGAAGTCTCTTAGTTTGTTTACAATTCATAGTTTAATATTGAAACACCCAGGGCATTGATAGATGATGGCATGGGGAACAATTTCATACATTTAGCATCAAAATTTCAACTCAATGCTATTGATTGCTAGAAAAAATTTATCATCATTCATTACTACTTTAACACAGTAAATTCCAATGCATGATGTTTTCAAAACAGTTTTCAAGGGAGATAAAGGTAAAATTTATGTGAAAAACTTTTATTCTTATTTTGATTTATTCTGCCTTAAGAAATATAACTATATTTTTTAACTCCAATAAATATATATTTTAAACAAATCAGAAAATTTATACATTTTGAATAAAAATTGCTCTGGCAATACACTTGATGGATATATTTATTGTCCTCTGAACTTTTTCCAACCTCACATACAATATACTCTTCATCTGAATCATTAGCAAAAGAATCATCAACATCTTCATCACTCATATCTATTACTTCAGCCATAGGATTTCCAATCTTTTCATAGGACATTTTTTTATTGCTTTTCTACAACTTCTGACCATCCAACAGCAAACATAAATGATAACTACTATAACTTATCACTAGTATAAGTCTGTAGTGAAAGAAATATCCAAGTTCATGAAAACTAATAACAACTCACATAAGTAAAACCATTACTTTGAACCAAATTTGCAAGTTTACTGCATTGATCATATATATTAGGGTTTCTCATTTCCCAGTCTTTTGCTTGTCTCGGGATTCTGGGATAAAAGTGAACTGTTTCCCAGGATCGAATTAATTATTTTTAAGATATACATAATAAGCCAGTAAAATAAGTCCTGATAATAGAAGATACGAAATTATAGACAAAAATTTATATTTTAGTCATATTAATAATGCTATATAAGATATATATTAAATATTACCTTTGAATTATGTAGAAATTTTCACAAATAGAAAAAATTTATTAAAGTTTGCTGGAAACTGCATACAACAACAACAAAATGCTTTGAATTGAGTTGGAAATTAAAAAAAAATTAACTTAGATCAAACTTCTAACTTAAAAGGTAATTTTCGTTTTTTAAATAAAACATAATACAAAATATTATTGTAAATTTTATAATAAGATTTTAAAAAGCAAAGATGATCAATATTCCAATCAGTCAATCTGATTCTTATTTTAGTAATGAAAAGTCCTGCAACTGAGAATGCCCTTTCTGATTTAATTGATGTTAGTGGAATCATCTTTAATGCATTTAAGAGAAGACAGATTTTATATGTTTTTTTCACTTGTAGCCTGAAAGATTTTGAGTTCGTTTTTGAGATTGTAGTACTTCTTTTGCTCTCTAGTATTCTTGCTTTGTCTACCTCAGCTGCTTTAATAGCAGCATCAAGCTTACAGCCCGATAATTCAGCAATTCATTTGGCTTTAATAATCAGGTTTATGAAGAAAAACTTCATACTTGCAGACTTCGTACTCATTTGTATCCTTGCCCAATTTGCATAACCTGGCGTTATGCAGTTATCAAATCTTCCAGGCATGGTTAAAAATTAAGACAGCATAAGCACAATTGTTCCAGATATTACAGGTTCTGACAAGTAAAGAATTTTCAGAGTCCTGCCACAAATAAGCTACATACTAATTATTGACCATTTGTGACATGCCATAATAAACAAAAATTAAAAAAACTAATAAGTAGGTTTAAAATTAATAAATACAAATGTATTCTGACAGTTTATCAGTTATTATACTTTCTATTTGCAAAATTTCCTCAACCTTAATACAAAATAAGAAAAAAAGTGAATTTTTAAGAAATTTGCGGGATTTCCTGGGATGAGAAGAATTTCCCGAGTTACAAAAACAACCAGGATCTCGTTTGAGAAATCCTAATATATATATACACACACACACATATACATATATATTCACTTGTGAACAGCAAGAAAATACAGGACACAATTATATTTAATCCAGTTTGATACATAGATAATGAAATTTACAATATCAATATTTGTTATATTTTTACAATTTGTATATTTTTAAAATTTTAATCTAAGCCATTTCCTTCTCAATTTTTATAAAATTAACTTATTTAAAAATAACTTAAAAATGATCATCATCAAATGATGATCTACATTACTTCAAATTATACCAGCCAATGAAAAATTATATAGCACAATTTGATAATCATTAAGTAATTTAATATCATGTAATTAAAAGGATACGTAAAACCAAAATTTCTGGAAATTTCTGAATGGTGAAACTTTTAGTACTTTTTCTTTTTACTTTACACCTACTGCAAACCTGCAAAAAGTTGCAATATATATATATATAACCTTTGTGACCAGCAAAAATATTAAAAAATAATAATAAAAATAAATAAATGGAATTAAAAATAAAAATTTTCTAAGAGAATTTTATTGCTTAAAAATAAAATAAAGGATTAAGTATTAGTGATTACTTTGGTAACTTATTTCTTAATTTCATTAATTTAACTTTGATGTTCTTTCAGAAATATTTTTTGAATATATAAGTATTTTTAATCTGTTTTTCAATTATTAAATCAAATTATTCAAGTCTATTATAGCTACACTATTATAGATACAACATGAAATGTATCAGAAACATAATAGAAAGTGTAATATGTAAAAGTTACTATAGTACCAGACCAAATCTCTGGATTCCAGAACTCTGTAATTACAAGAAAACCAGCTATTTTTTGAAACTGACTAGTTTTAAATTTTTCAGGCTACAGTACAACAGTAGTTTACCATGTGACTGCTTTGTTTTGATTTCCATAGTGTGTACATCACATATTGTCAGTTTTAGTGTGACTGTTGGCTCATAGTGTGTTAAAACAGTTTAGTTCTTTGCTTTCTATTGTTTATTTTATATTTTAAATATACCATATTTAGCCTGTAGACAAAAAACTGAAAAATCCAGAAATCCAGACCACTTCCAGTCCCAAGTTTGCTGGATATTTGGTGCAGTATCATAAAACAGTTGTAGACTGGCAAAGCTAAATGATCTGTGCCAAAAAGTTCTTTTTGGGGGAAAAGGAAAAACTGTTTGTTCATGACAAATAGAGTAAATATTTATTTCTATAATCATTAAGATCTTCAGAAACATGTAAGGCAACTATTCAAAGAGGAATTTTTGTCTAAATACATTAGAAAACAGTCAAAAATAAGACAAAAGTTGGAACTGATCTAAGTATACTTGGCACAAAATGAAAAAAGATTTAAATCTACAGACATTATTCACTTAAAATGGCATTGAAAAAAGTCTCTGTTCTCTTTATCTATAAATTCCAATATAAAAAAAAATATCTTTCTTCTTCTTGTCACTCAGTCTATCGATTCCAAATAAAAAGGAGTCCAACAATAGTCCAACAATTGTATTAGGTAACTTTTAGCCTTTGAAAACTACAGAAGGATATAATTGTGGTTAAAAGTGTAATGATATTTTTTTAGTAAACATCTTCAAGATATGATTTCACTTTTAATACAACAACTTTTAAAAATCTTACAAGTGCACAGAGATTAACTAGTGTGCAGAGAGCATTTGGATATACTGAGAGTTCCATCTATTGATGCTTATTAAAACAAAAATGAAAAGCATTTGCACTTACATTATATAACACTGCATTGACCTTGAAACATTGATCACTTATGTGAAAAAAACTGTTTTTGTATATTTTGGCACTTATATCATTTAGCTTTTCAACTTTTCTACTCTACAATTTTATGAACTATTGACTTTATTATTAAAAGTATAAATAATGAAATCAGGCATACATGCAAATTTTTAAAAGGGTGTGGGTTAAAAAAAAGTTACTTTCATAGCATAGTTTACTATACTATACAATATTTTTTACAATATAGGTTTATCAAATGGTACCAAAACATTTTGATTGATGGACCAAATTGCGCATAAGTCATAGGTAGTCAGGTCACAAATATTTTGTATATTCCATATATACCTACCGAAAGTAGATCTATCTCTATCATTTATAAGTAGTGTGTTAAATATGTTTGTAAGATGGATTAATATGTACCATGGGCTACATTTGGTCCAGAGGTCATAGTTTTGACACCACTGCAGTAGACTAATGAGAAACTGAACAGCTACAAAATAAATAAGTTGTAAAAATATACTGTTTAGTTTTAATTTTATTTAATTAATCCAAAATTATTTAATTTATAATTTTTGGTAAATGAGTGTAGTAATAATTGCATACTAAAAGATTTGTCTTACCATTGCAAGATCAATTTTGTATGCCAATTTTTACCAACTAGAAATTCAAATAATTTAATTTCTTATGGGGTATACAATAGGCCTTTTCTGTTGAAGTGTTTGAAAGCTTTGCCATAAGTAGTACAATTTACATTCTATAAAATTCTAATTGTATTGAAATTTCAAATGAGCAAGAATAACACTTTGTCCTGATATTTTCAAACAAACATATTATTTTTAGTGTAAAACAGAAAACAGATGCAAAGACAGATTTCTCAAAGACCATTAAAAACAATGTATTTTCTAAACATAAATATTAGTATTTATAATAAAATGGAATAGCTCTATCAAATTAAAATGTCATTAAAAAAACTGTCATTAAATCAAGTGTATAATACTTACTGGCATTTCGTCTCCAATTAAAATTTCTTCATTGGTAAAAAGATTAAGGCACTCAGATAATCTCACTGAACTGTAAGACTGCAAATGTTTTAGTTAGTGATTTTCTAAATTGTTTTGTTTAAAAAGTTTATATAGTTTACCTTTGATATTGGTATGGATAAATCCCAAAAAGGGTCAAATGTAACAGATGTATGTCCACAATGACAACATTTTAATGTACTTTTCAATTGTCCCACAAATATATCTATTAAAATGTAATATTTAATACTTTAATTTACAAATTATCAATATTACATATATTTTGAAAACAATTATAATTTAAATAATATATATGTTGCACTGAATCTAAAAATGTGCATTTCTTGAAATGGGCAAAAATTTACATAATTTGCAAAATGATACATCAGCAGCAAATTTTGTTAATGAAACTGAACTATTTCATTCATAAAATAGGCTAATTTTGAATTGCCTATTTTTTAAACATTTTACATTTTCCACTAAGATACCAACATTTGTATGACTCATTGAATATGGCTTAGATAATGTTAAGTGAAAGGTTTATTTTAGCATTGTCTACTTACCTGAAGATTACTTAATACTTAGCAAAATGACACTAGCACAGCATTTTGGACAACTGTTAAATTCATTAAAGAAGCATGTGATTTCACAAATTACACAAATTTTTGTCAATTTCACAAAATGGGAAATATTCCTAGATTTCACATAACAATATATATATATATATATATATGATTAATTGATTAATTAATCACAGTAATAAAGTGTTGCATATTTTATAAATTAATAAATACAACAAAATTCATATAAATATATAAATAATAAATTGTAATTTTAAAGTTTGAAAGATTACTGATTTACTATTAAAATTAAATAGTATAAAAAAGCAAAAAAAAAATTCTAAAACAGATGTATGAAAATATAAGAGTATTAGATTTTACTATAATACATATTTTTATTTTTAAATTCAAGAATTAGAAAGATTCACCATTTAATTTATAAATCTGACAAAATAAATATTTCAATTAATGGATTTAGAATTTTTACAAATTGTTTCAAAAACCATTGTTTAAGAATATTAAAAAATTCATAAACTTCAAATTTTCTCTTTTAATATATATTATTATACTTTTATATTTATTTTTTTTAAAGAAAATTCTTGCAACTTTTTTACATTGTAAAGGTACAAAAAACCACACTCATTTCAATTCCTACTATCTCTAACAGTGAATTTGGACTCCAATAACAATAAAACATTTTTTACATAATTTGAATTGTTGAGCCCACAGTTTCATTTTTGAAATACCCTTTCCAAACATTCTATATAACCAAATTTATATCCAAAGAGAAAAAAAAAGACCATATAAGAAAACATGATTAATCTCTTATGACTTCTGAATGTCACAAATTATATTAACATAACTGTAATAATGCAATATATACATACCTACTATTTTACTGTTATCAGTTTTTAAATATTTTCTCCATGATTCTGAAGCTTTTTGACTTTCCCTGCAAAAATATAAATTAAACATTTTTTAAAAACATAACTCGATAAAAATAAAATAATTTATACCAAATAATATACCTTTAAAAAAATATCAAAGTAATGAAAACTACAATGAGGTTTCTTCAATAAAAATAATTATTATTATATGACAATTTTGATGGGTTCCTGCTATCAGAATTTTAATCAGTAGACTTACAGAATCTGTTGAGATATAAATTTGTAGCAAAATATATCCAATCCAATCCAAATTACGCTTTATTTGTAATACGGCAATTGCCTGTTACAATGGGAGAACCATAAACTTAAATAATATAACATATTACATAGTATTATTACAATAATATTTTCCTTCTAATTATTTACAAAAGTTTTAACATAGTTGTATAAATTAACTATTAATCGAGTTGTTGCTCTATGGAAAATATAGTACATTTCTTCCACCGATCTGCACTCACTTAAACTTAACAAATCAAATTTCCTTTTTAACTCATAGCTCTTTTCACATTGGCAAAACAAGTGATACTTTGAAAATTCCATATTACATCTAGGACATAAATTATCAGCATACGAGTAGAATTTATTATTTAACATTAATATTTCTGAATTTAGACGTATTTGAATAAAAAACCGTTTTATAACAAAAGGTAGATTCGATAGAATATAATTATTAATATTTGGATAGTTCAATAGTGAACCATACCAGTTTGGTTTTAAACGTGAACGGTTGTCTTCTATGTCACGTGATAATAGAATATCTAAAATGCTATGCGTTAGCTGACTACACAAATCTTCACTTAGATTCGGCGAAAAGATAAATGGAGCAATTGAGAAACCATAACTATTGATCACTCTTGAAATTTGAGCTATCCAATTCCTTTTAGAATTCTTCTGTACAGAATACTTATATAACTGTTGTAGCAGATTGAATGAAATATCTCCGCTATCTCTTATCTTCATTAACAGCATCATAGTTCTCTTGATAAATAATGCAGTGGGACTGTATCTGCTTACTTCTAACCTTAAAGCACTCCCCGGAATTTTATATTCCAAGCAAAACAATCTTCGAATAAATTTGTTCTGGATAATCTCCAGTTTCTGATAGTTGGCCATACACCAAAATGGTGATGCGTAGCTCACTGAATTATATACAATTGAATTGAATAGGTTAAACTGTGTTTGTATATTTCTTAGATGTGTCTTAGCAAACAATTTCATTACCCCATTAATCATTCTATTAGCTTTAATCATCATCATCCTAGTATGTCTGTCAAAGGACAGTAAAGGTGTCAAGATAATCCCCAGAAACTTAATTTCATTGACCAATTTTATTTCATTGTTGTTAATGTAGAAGGACATAGTTCTCCTGGGGAGTTTAGCCCCATTTCTAAAAATCATTATATTTGATTTTTTTGGGTTAATCTTTATTCTCAATTGATCGAAATATTTGGTTATTACTTGGATTTTCCTGTTAAGAGCTACTGCTGTGGGCGCAATAATAACTATGTCGTCTGCATACGAAACAGAGTGAATCACAGTGTCACCTATCATGAATCCATCATCTTCTTTATCAAAATAATTATTAATGTCAAAAGTAAAAAAGTTAAACAAATGTGGAGACCACGGGTCTCCCTGTAACAACCCTCGATCTATCGGATAGGGATAACCTTGTTCATCATTGTGTCGAATAATTGCATCATAATGACCGAATAATAAGCCAGTTAATTTTATCATATAGCAAAATATATCAAGTTTGTCTCATGGTGTCATATTACCAAATTCCACCATGAGGCAAGATTTCAAAATGGTTGCTTTCATTAGTGAAGGTGTGCTCATTGCATGTTTTGATTTGAAGAAATAAAATCTGTGATAGCAGTTCAACAGAATTTTTGCAACTAAAATTGTAGGGATCCTCTAAGTAAACCTAAAATTTACTCTTGGTGTTCCAAAACTAATTGTTCTGTTAGTGTGCAAAATAACATGTGTGCCTCTTGAAAGTGGCATTTCACAACCAATTATTTGGCAAGTTTTATGAAAATATTTGCACCTAAACCATACAAACTTGCAATGTGGCAAAAAACTACTGATACAGATAAGGTAGCTGTAAGGTTCTGTACAGGATTCTTGATGAGTTCATCAAGAATACTGTACAGAAATGTGGCATTGAATTGAGGAAGATGAGCTATTCCTTGCCAATATTATCTTCAATGATAAGATAACATTTCATCTCAGTGGTAAAGTGAACACCCGTAACTATAGAATTTAGGCATTGAAAATCCACAAGCAACATCTTTGTGATAGTCCAAAAGTGAATGTGTTTTGTTTTCTTAGCAAAGATTAAGTATATGGCCCCTTCTTTGCCATGAAAAAACCATCAGTGGTATTGTGTACCTGCATATGCTAGAAAATTTTCTCATTCTACTGGTAAACAACCATGACAAAGGATGTATGCACTTTTGTCAAGATAGTGCATCACCTCACTATTGTACAGATGTCTGGAATTCCCTCAAACATTTCTCAGATTGGTGGATTGATAGCTTGGCCATTTCATTTCCTAGATTTGACACCATTTGATTTTTTCTTCTGGAGTTTCATTAAAGATTACTGTTTATTCCACCTATGCTTGCAAATCTTGCTGAACTCCAAACTTAAATCACTGTCAGTTACTGAATTGACAACAGATATGCTGCTTTGAGTTTAGCAAGATATTAAATTTAGATAGGTTGTCTGCATTACTAATAGTATTCACAGGAAACCAAAATGACTGAGATAAAACTAAGTACTTTACCATAAATTGACATTTCAGCTGAAGTCGTATGATTAAAATTCTATATACAGTAAATTCTCATTATTACTGGTCATGATATAACGGACAACTTGTTATAGACTGTTTATGATGGTTTAGTTAGACCTAACAGTTTACAATAGGAAAATTATTCAGCATTATGAACCCATAAATAACAGACTCTTGATATTATGGACCAATGCAAGCATTCCCTTAGAGCCTTTTCCTGTATGTCTCTAAGAGACTCCCGTTCTTGTGTATGGACTTGTTACTTTCCCATGCTCTAGTTTCAAATTTGCCATGCACCCAGCAAAATAAAGCTTAAAGCAAGTACAGTGAAATCATTGAAAACACCAACAAAAAAATGCAAAGTAATAACTTTAAGTAAAAAGATTGCTATGATAGAAGAAATCAGTAATGTCAAAATTCAAGCTGATGTTGCTTGAAATAAAAATTTGAATAAATAACTAGCTACTGATATATGAAAAAAGAGAAAAAATATAGCAAACTTTCTTAACTTAAGACAGAAGATAGCTAAAAAAAAAGATACATTGAATCAATAATTTTTAATCAGTAAATATGAAATTCAATTGTAAATGATCAAAAGATTATGAAAAAATTAATAATGATTGTAATTTTTAATAATTTCAATAATCTTTAAGAAATTTGTTTAAATTAGGTCCAAACACTAAACTGATACTAACAAACATCTGTTTATAATAACAACTGTTAATGTTTTTTAAGCTAATTTCATATGCTTCTAAAATAATGTACTATTACAAATAAGAATAAAGCTATGGTCAAAAATTTGAAAGCATTTTTTAAAGTAACATCATTGAATAAATTAGTTTATTAATTTGACAATTGAGTATATATACTATACCAGCAGTTGTCATCTGGAGATCCGTGGATCATTGATGGTCCACGAGAAAATTTGGGTGGTCTGTGGAGAAATTTGAACATTGATCAACTAAAGGTTGTTATGCAAAGTATTATGAAAGAAATGCAAAATGCTTAGCTGCTTTTTTTCACTCATTGGAAGTTTTTATTCAAATTGAAAACCAAATACAAAGTGACTGTTATCAATAAATAATGATGTAAAGTACTATATTATTTTTCCGACTTTTCCAACGATTATCGACACTACTGCGTGCCGGAAATAGCCGCTCCCTAACGGGTACTTTACGCGGATTCGCGTTAGTGTGCCAGGCCTGGACTTTAAGCGTGCACCGAATTAAATAATGACAAAGTTTGTCAATAACAAAAATCAAATATTTAATTAAACTTCTAGTAATAAACTATATACAGTATTTAGTAAAAATCAAACAATAATTTATTCAATGAAATTCAACAAGAATCAACCCGACAAACTCAAATCAATCTATTTCTAACTTAATTCTATTCCCCTTTGGAATTCGACAAAAATCAAAGACTTAACTTATAAACAATAATTCTTATAAATTAAAGATCCTAATCGTCACCTCAATATACTAGGAACCTATTTCCTCAAACTCTCAAGACTTTCTATAATCGTCGATCCATAAATCGAATAACTTCAAAATCGCCTTGGAACTATTTGATCCTATCGGACACCTCTCTCGTTCACTGCTACTAAGCTCACCAAAGCTTGTCGCTATCAGGAATTCACCTCGTTCATCTTCACTTGAGACTCGGGATTTATAGTGTGAGGTGACGTCACAATTCTGAATGAGATCATTCTCCTCATTTACATACTTAACGTTAACAATAAACTTTTTCTATTTGTCTGGCAGCCTATTTTCCGACAATACTCGCTAACCTTTTACATTATTCGTTTGCACAATTTTCGGGACGTTTTTATTCTTTAAGGTTTAGCGAGTCCCTAATTCATGCTTGTGGGGTCTCCCCCCCTTTTCTCGGTGCGGACTTACTTTTTTCCGCTCGGGAAGCGCAAGTGTGCGCGAGTTTTTCTACGGCGCTTTTCTTTCGTCGGTGAGTTGGTTTTTCTTCTATTTTTAAGTTACTAAGGTGAATGGTGAGGAAACCTTCGTCCTAACAAAACATAAGCCCCAAACAAAATAGAATAATAAGCAAAATAAAAGTAAATAAAAATAACGTTCGGACTTGGTTCCTTACAATGAACAATAAACAATATTGTGAGTGTGATTGCCATCCTTCATGGAAAAGTGCTAAGAATCCATAAACTTATTTCAAACAAGAAGAATGATGTTTAGGCTTGCATTAATTTGTTTTAATTAAACACACTAATTTCATATTAATATAGTAAAATTAAACTTTTATGATCATTATTCTACAGATTTTATATCATTTAAAAAAATTCATGTTATGTCATGATCTGCAGGATTCAAAATTGTGAGTTTAGTGGTCCATGAGGTCAGAAAGGTTGCCGACCACTGTACTATACTACACTATATGAAAGGTTTAATAGAGTTTACTGGTTTTAATTTTTGATATCTAACATGCAGGAGGAGTCATCCCAAACTCAAAAAAAAAAGCTTATGAAATGGATCAGTATAGTAAGCAATGACAGATTCCTTTAACTGTCCTCTCTTATAGAAGAAAGCTGCTGAAATTGCAAAATTCTGAATATCAAAGATTCAAAGCAGGTGAAGAATGGACTATTAAAGGTTCAGAAGCACCATTCCTAAAGTCATATGCATATTAGGAGAATCAGGATCAGCAAATCATGTCGTGGCTGAAGAATGGATAAAGGAAAAGTAATATGTTATTTCCTGCAACTACAATCTACAAATATTTTCAATTGTGACAAAACTGGTGTTTTGCAGATTACCACCAAAAACTGATAGCAAGCAGCCAAAAGAAGGGCTTACACTATTGCTTTCTGCCAATGTAACAGGGTCTTTTCAAATCTTGTCAAATTGCAATAGGTGGTTCAAAGAGACCTCACGATTTTAAAAGTATCAGGACACTACCTACTATTTACAGACACAGTAAAAAAAAGCATGGATATTCATGATATATAAATGGCTTCATGACTGGGATAAAGTTAGGATGACAGAAGAGAAAAATTTTGTTATTGATAGATAAGTGTGTTGTACAGAGATCTAACATGCTGGATGCACTAAAGTTGTCTGCTGAAGTATGGGCATCTGTAACACAAACTACAATTGTGACTTGGCAGATGACAATGAAAATCAAGAGGAGGAGTACTACAATAATTTGAAGTTTTTGTAAGTGCTGACCACCAGAAACAGAAATGCAAGATTTTAATGCAAAGGAAAATCTTGCAAACACAGAATTAGATAACAAAGAGGAAGATGATGAGCCCTTCTTTCCAGTGCCAATTATTACAAATTATCAAGCTGAAAATTAAATTAAAAGACTATCCAATTTCATTCTACAAGTAGAAAATGTTCCTAATTTGGCTTTGCAAAATATTGCTTTATTATCTTACTGGGTAAAAAATAAGATCAAAACAAGAAATGCAAACATAACAGTTATTTTTTATCTGGAATTAAAGCTTTTTGTATATTTTTTTATTCAAATTCAGAGTATACTGTATATTTAATACTGCATATGTTGTTCACTTCCTTTTAGTCTTCTCCTTCTTATTATCACAATAAAATATATCGCTGTGTTTCAATATTCAAAAGTCCTCAATTTTCAGTTTGTTAATTGTTCATGTGCTTTAAATTACATGCACTACACATAAGATTAAGAAATATCCATTGACATGTTCATAATTATAACCTTTTAATACTAACACAATAGTAAATTAGAAAAGAATCCACAGCAAGTTTCAGTCTTAGAATGCATGAACATAGTCATTACAATACGAACTTTTTCTATAATGTAGTTACAATGAACTTTCACTATAATGGATCAAATCAGCTGGTTCCTACGGGTCTGTTATATTGAGAGTTTGTTGTAAAGAGTGTTGTAATTCAAAGTTGTAAAGGTTGAATCATTCTGTACTTCTACATTTTTGAAAAAAATTATGATAAAATTCTTTGAAATTCTTGTCTGGAAAACAATTGTGAATTCAACAAACAAATAATTACTGATATTACATGCAAATTTAATTATACTATTTTGTTAATATATAGAACTATCCTTTACTTAATCTGAATACATACATAGCTGTAAAAGTTCTAATGATAAATTCTGATTATAATATTAAAGATTAATCTTAAAAAGATTTTGATATAACATATCTATTACAATTTTGTCACTACTAAAATCTACTTTTTTTTGTTCACTGTATCTACATTTTTTAATTGTTTACACAAGATTCCATTAATCATTTATTTATTTATTGTTAGATAAACATATACTTTAGTTATTTGATATTTTTTCAATTCAAAATTATTTTCAATAACTGCAATGAATCAGGTACTGATACTTAATGACAAAACATACTTGAATGCCCATTAATTATCTTAAAATTAAAACTTACGTAAGATGATCATCTAAATCTGATGAAGAAGTTCGATTCATAACAGAAATACGATTCACATCATCGTGGAGACCTTGTAAAATATATCGAAGAAATTCTTGAGCATCCTGCTGACTAAAAATCATTATCATTTATAAAATTATCAAAATTAATGTACTATTATTATTTTTATTTTCTGTTTTTTTACATTTTCTAAAATCACTTGAAATCACATTTTAAGTAAAACTTAAATTACAGCATTAAGAAATAATACTATAAACATTAAGAAACATATAACATCAAAAAATAAAAAAATCGTAACTATAGATTACAAAAAAATTAATAAACTGCTTATATAAAATATTTGTAAAACAAACAAATTAATATATTTTACACTTTAAATTAATAATTTTTTTATATTCTTGTATTATTTATAATAATGATAAAAATGTCCATATCATTCAAATTAACTAATATTTGTGTAATTTTTTTCAGACATTCTTATTTATTTTAACAGCAATAATCAAATTTTGGGATTTTTTAAATAGAAATTACACAAAAAATGATTGTTTCAGGAGGAAAAAAAATCTCCCAAAAAATTCAGATTTAAATAATCAGGACTGGATCAGCAACCGAACCAAAAATTTGTGAATTTTTTAAATTGTTTGATCTCATTGAATTGCATAGATATTTTAGTCAATAGCTTCATGTAGTAATTTTGTACATTTTTGAATAAAGCTTATGTTTTATAATTAATTTTAAATAGATAATTCATTNTAAAGTTCCAAGATAACAAAAATCACAAATAATGGGCTAAATTAAGAGTGCAAATCTTGTGGTTTTATCAACAATCTCCGAGCATGGTTGACAAAAAGGTGTCAAATAGACACCTCAAATTGGACTTTTCCTGTGACCTGAGTTGGTCTCAGTTTTCGCCTGAACAAAGGAGAGACCAATCGGAAAGTGAGGAATGGGACGAGGAGCCAATTGGAAATACGAATAGTGGGGGAAAAACTATAAAATTGAAGTTCAAGGTTGAAGGACAGTCTTCCTCTGGATCAAGCAAAGCTGTGCTCTATATTGTGTTGTGTCGCCATAGACAACTTAGGACGCCACAGCTGGGACTTGAATACACAACTTACAATTATTAAATTTTATAAGAGATGACATTTAATGCTACCTCTAGTGCCAAATTACACAGTATTTAATTATTAATAATAGTGGTAATATAGACCAATTTAATCTGGCATTCATTTGGCTTTAATATAACTATCAGACTTAGAAATTTTTACATATACAGTGGGTGATTGGTTAACGAACATAATCTGTTCCAAGACTTTGTTCGCTATCCGAATTGTTCGTTAACCAATTATCAATTTACCATAGGTTTTTATGGGAATTTGATTAATTCGTTCTGGAGACCCCAAAAAATAAAATATATATAGTTTCTTACTACGTTTATTTATATGTAATAATAAAAATACATATATACACAGTCTTGTATTTTTATTAGTTATGTTTTTTTCCATTTTGTGGGGGTTAAAAAAACTGTCTAATGTCTATTGCTTTCCTCTCTTCTTCAGGATTTTTCAGAAGCGTAATTAATTAATAGTGTTGTTGTAGAGGTCCCTAAGCCTATTAATCTCAACCTGGTTTCGATGCCATTCTAAGACCGTTATTCTGACATCCTCCCACTCCTTCAAAAGATTTTTAATAGCAGATGTCAGCATTAATCCTTTTTTTCAGAAGAAAACATATCCTGCTAAGTTTCTTGCTGTTCTTCATTCAACAATTCTTGGCTTCTTCTGTCGTCAGATCAGTTTCCATTATGAGCTCTTCAATGTTCTTTGTTTCTCAAATGTGATTTTTGTTACTCCTTTAGCTGCTTGAATCTTCTTGATTATACAGTATTTTTCTTAAATAAGATTGAACTGTGGCCTACTGTAGACCTGTTCAATCCATACTGCCCAGCAACATCAGACATCTTTTGCCCACTCTCTACCTTTGCTATTATACTCTCACCTTTCAAAAATGAAAACCGATGCAAAACTTAACAAGTGCCCACCCGACAGTCTCACGAATACTATAAAAGAATTGTTTCTGCCAGAAAAATAAAAGGCTGGAATTACAAGGGAGAGTTTCAAAGTTCAGAGGAATACTATCCAATCACTATATACTGGATTGAGCGTCAATGTCAACGTCTCCCGTGCTCTGAAAAGCTTAGAATTGTTGCCTGAAGACAAGGGAAGACCAATCAGTAATTCATTATTTTATGTCACTTCTTCTTGTGTTTGTTCTGTGAGGTGTTTGTTGTCCGAACATAAAAATCTTTTGCGAAAGTGTTTGTTATCCAATTTGTTCATTAATCGAACTGTTTGTTAACTAATCACTCACTGTATATTCTTATGTAATGAAGAATTTTCAATAAACAATAGATAATATGGTGGCATAAATTCTGAAAATGCCATAATTTCAAATGTTCTGTTTTTTCTAGTATTCTTTTTTCAAGACTTTATTAAGTATTTTGAATTAAATATTTTCTTACCTGTATCCTGTGAAACGAGGTGCAAATCTTTGTATCTGAGTTTTAAAACTATGTGGATTGACTGCATTTGTTGTGTTTTTCCACATCATTTGTAATAAATTGGAAAATTCTAATTAGAAAAAATATATATATTTTAAAATGAAAAATTTATTATTGTAAAAACTATATTTCTTTGGAAAATTTTGAAAAATAACTGTAATGTTAAATAATAAAGTTAAGTAAAAATGTTGAAATTTGCCATTACATAAAAAATGTTTATAATTAGATAAATTATAATATATTTATAATTAGGAATACTATTTATATATGTTAACTATCTAATTTGTCTTGTTTTTATTTAATAAATAAAATATTTTTATCATTTGGAATTACCTCTTATCAGAGTTCCTTTCATACTGCTTTGTGTTGTATTGATATCCATAGTATAATTATCTCTGAGACAATAATCTAAGAGAGGTTTTGTATGAGCCAAACATTGTAATATAGAGTTCATAAAACACTGAAATGATAAAATTCTTTAAGGAAACATCTCACACAACAGTTGATTAAATAGTTTTAATTAATTTTTCATTAAAAGAACTTTTATTTTCAGTTATTTATGAAGTAAGTAAATACACTTTAATTGTCTTTAATAATATCTAATTTTATTGTACAGATAAGTAAAATATATAATACATATTACTAAATAATATTTGCTGCTTATTATAAATTTAAATGAATTAACAAATTTAAAACCAGCCATTGTATAAATTATAATAATAAATTAATTGCTTTTTGTCCTGTTTTATTATATAATGTTTTTAATAGCTACTAATTTGCTACTGTTCTAAAGGACTTATCATTGTAACATTAAACAGAAATTAAGGGATAAGTTTCTACTCTAAATAAGAATTTTGATTAGATTAAAAAACAAACATTAGTATATTGTAAATCCACAGAGTCTAGCAATATTTTCAAAAAATTTTGTAATTCTAACACTAACACAAAAAATCACCTATTTCATTATTCACTATCATATATACTTCTTTGAAAAATCATGAAGAAAATAGGAAATGATAAAGTTTAACAGTATAATNATACGTTCCTGATTTTATGAATCCACCTTCTAGGAGTCCAGCCAATCACAGCCCGGCACATATGCAGTTTATGGACTACGGCTGTTTGAAAGGTTTCTTCCATAAAATTAATCGATTCTAGACTAATTCAACTCATCATTTCCAAAATATGTATAATTTTTTGTGAATAATCCATATAAACTATGCTATAAACAAAAAATTGTAGGATTACATACCGAGTGTGCACCGTTTGACGACGCCATTGCTTAAGCTTGTTTTCGTCGTGGAGCGGCGCATCAAACGGCGGGCCCGTGTTTCCTGATAAATTATTTTTTTTTGCGAAAAATTCACTGAACTTTGGAGACATCATTAATATAAATATAATTTTTATCGACATTAAGTAATAAATGGTTTTTGATAGGTCCGCTGCTCATTTAAACTCAACGATTTGTGCAATCCTGTTGCAACATGAGTCGGCGATGACATTTTACCAAATTATAGGAGTTTTTTTAGCATGTTTGTATGAATAAATGTCGCAATTTTTTCGCCGTGATATAGGAATCCGAACTATAGGAACCCGTGTTATAGGGAGTTGACTGTATAAAACTTTTCTTATGTAGTTGCAAATTGATCCATTAGCACCTTTGTCTTTAGAGCAGTGTTTTTCAACCTGTGGGTCGCGGCCCCCAAGGGGGCCGCAAAGCCTTACACGGGGGGTCGCGGGTAAAAGAAAAAGGCAAGTGTTTGTAGGTCCTACACTACATTAAAAAAAACTACAATTTCAGCAAGAATTACGGCCCACCCCAGAAAATGATAGCGGAAAAAGTGTTGAGCTGATCTGCAAAAAGAAATAAAAAGTAGAAACGTAGAAGCTGAAAATTCTGATCTTAAACAAAAAAAAAGGTCAACATCTTCCTGTACCGAATGTTATAATTAAAGGAAGTTTCATACTTTGTGTGTGTTAAGTTATTGTCGATTCTTCTGAAATTTTCACTTTAATCAACAATAATTTGTCTCAACAAAGAGAAAATTAAATACATAGATTTTAAAATCACTGATAAAGTTTTAATATGGCCCTAGGGGGTCGCCAGAATTTTTTAACTTGTAAAGGGGTCGTGTATTCAAGAAAGTTGAAAAACATTGCTTTAGAGCATCCATCTAACACAAACAATATTTTTATCATAATGTAGTGGAAGTTCAAAATTTTTTGTTGGTTAGAACAGTGTTTCTTAACAGGGAGCTGCAGACCCCTGGGAGTCCATAAGAAGTTTGCTAGGGGCTGCCAAATTATGCAAAACTTCCTTCAGAATATAATAAAAAGAAAATTGATGTATAACCAAATATCATATTGAAAAGTAAAATAACAAAGATAAAGTTTTCATATTTAGTTATTTATTTATTTATTTCTTATTTCTTCCTACATACAGCTTTGTTAGCACAGAAGAAACAAATGCAAATATGCTACTTACACCACAGTATTTACTTCTTTTCTTCCAAAGTAATTCTAAGTTGTTAATGAGTTTTTATGTTTAATTGTGAAATTTGAAATGTTATTTAAATAGATAATGAAATAATAAAGTTATGTTTTACATTTATTATATAAAGCAATAATAAAAATCAATTCATTATAGATAATTTAACAAATATAAATTATTATTAAAAAAATGGGGGTCACAAAAAATTATGAAATATTTGGTGGACCGTAAGTATAAAAAGGTTAAGAACCACTGGCTTAGAACACTCAACCAATAAAAAGAATAGGAAATGAATGGAAAAGAGAATGACAGAGAATTGAGAGAGTTACATCACAACTGAAATCAGGAGCCATTGAACTGATCCTCAAATTGGAACATGAAGGATCCCAATGTAAAGTTGTGCCCTACAACACCTCTCAATAAGCTTCATCCTAGAGATAGCAGAGGTAATCTCCTTGCAACAAATAATTCTGAAGAACATTTGAAGAGGATTTGCCTGTTTATCATAACTTTCCCAGATTTTTGTATTCCCTTTGCATTCTCACNAAAGTTTTTGTATTTAGTTTTTTTTATTTAACAAATTAGTTGAAAATATTCAGCAGCAGAAATCTCATTAAATTATTTTTGAATATTTTTTGTTTTTCCTATGAATTTTTAAATGTTTCTTATTTTATTTTTTGTTAAAAATTAATGAGTTTTTATGTTTAATTGTGAAATTTGAATGTTATTTAAATAGATACTAGAATAATAAAGTTATGTTTTATATTTATTATATAAAAAAAATAAAGCAATAATAAAAAAAAATCAATTTATTATAGATAATTTAACAAATATAAATTATTATTAAAAAAACGGGAGTCACAAAAAAATTATGAAATATTTGGTGGGCCGCAAATATAAAAAGATTAAGAACCACTGATTTAAATCATCAAAATTTATTATATAGCAATGAAAAACACCAACAAATTTTGTGAGGTCTGTAATGCTTTGTGACTATTTTTTTTTTTGTTTTGTTTCGGTTTTTCCCTTACCCCTTTTGTTTTGTTTCGTGGTGCCACCCTCCTCCAGTTAACTGTGTATTGGCAGCCAGATTGGGCAGTTGGGGGTCATGTGTGGTGTATATCCAGTTAGTGGGGTATATAAGGTCATGACCCACATGGAGTAAGGACCTTTGGTTTTGGTTTCCAGCTTGTTCCCGACTGCGGTGTTCTGGCCAGGTGTGTGTAATCGAGGCGCTGAACGTGAGAGACCCGAGGACAAAGGGAGACAAGAGGGAAGAAATCCGTTTGCATCTGAATAGGGACTGTGTGGTGGTGAACTCCAACTTGTTCAAGTGAGAGAAGATCGGCGGAAGACTTGTAGGCACCGATTAGTTCTTCAAATGTTTGTACGTGGCCAAGATTTTTTGTCATGAGTAACGTTTGTTATATTTTCTTTGTTACGCGCTGTTTCATCGTCCCGCTTTTCCACATGTCGTGAGCCCCCATAGTCAAGGAAGGAGAGGAATGAGGTGATCGTATGTAGTGTAGACTCGGATATAACACCATTTTGTTATTAATTCACGCCTTGTGTAAATATCCTGTTGTACTTAACGAACTTTGATTAAAACCCCAGTAATTGTTGAGCCGACTTGTCTGTGTGTTTTGTTTTCAGCCCTGCAGACCTTGCTCTACAGGGAAACTCTATAGGTCTCAGACAAGGTCTGAAATTGCTTCAATTGCGGAATTCTTATGTTTAAATTATAATGATAAAATATATATGAGAGAGAAAAAAACCCTTGATCCAAACAACATGGCACAAAATGTAAACGATGAGTCCTGGGACAACTACAACATGTGTTAAACGATCTGTGAATGTCAAACCGAAAGATAGAAAATGACACAGGCACTCATAAACAGGTAGAACTCTGACTCAAGCACTCATAAATAGTCAATCTAGAAAAACAATTTCAAAAAAGGGGAAAAGATTTAATGGATAGAAAAACATTGTGTATGATCATTAAAGTTCCAAGATAACAAAAATCACAAATAATGGGCTAAATTAAGAGTGCAAATCTTGTGGTTTTATCAACAATCTCCGAGCATGGTTGACAAAAAGGTGTCAAATAGACACCTCAAATTGGACTTTTCCTGTGACCTGAGTTGGTCTCAGTTTTCGCCTGAACAAAGGAGAGACCAATCGGAAAGTGAGGAATGGGACGAGGAGCCAATTGGAAATACGAATAGTGGGGGAAAAACTATAAAATTGAAGTTCAAGGTTGAAGGACAGTCTTCCTCTGGATCAAGCAAAGCTGTGCTCTATATTGTGTTGTGTCGCCATAGACAACTTAGGACGCCACAGCACCTTGGTAATCATACGTCCATTGATCTCATCTCATCTGCCCCAGTGCTATGACCAAAGCTGAAGTTCATGCCAAAAGACTATAGACAATTGGAACTGTCAATTATTGATGTAGTCATAAATATTACCAAATAAACAGCTTTTTCGCTTGTAAGACACTTGTCATCATTTGCCTCCTTTACCACAGCCCACATACAATCTTCTGTTAGGTTCATCCTGATGCGGGATTAATTGATCCCCCTAAAAGTCAGCATCCTTACAATATATAGCTTATTAGGATGACAGTTATTGAGTCATGTGTCTTAACTGTCAAAGTTTTCTAAAATTATGTCATTTTATAGATAGGGATAATTACCAGAAATTTATTAGCTTTCAGGAGACAAATTCAAATAGGAGTGTCTAGTAATAACAATGAAAGTGTGGATTGAATGTAAAGAAAGTGAATGGGAAAAATTAATAGTAAGGTAGGTTGGTTGGTAGGTAGGTTTGGTGGTTTGAGAAAAATCTCAATGGAAAATGAATACATCTGAGTGCACAAAAGATTTTTCATATTTTTTAAAGGTGTTCTTACTAATTTTAGCTGATCCAATTTTAGTGATAAAGATGTTTGATGAATTCATAATTATTATTTAAAATTGCATATAACATACCCCATTCCATAACTAGCTTTTTCAAATTGATCCATTCAAATTGCCTTTTAAACACAGCTGTAGACCACACAAAAGTACAAAAGTTTATTTATTTAAAAATAATATATTTTCTATTAGAATACTACACTTACTGTGTTGCCAATATTTTGAAGTCCACATGGTCCACTTTCTTTTTCAGATGATTTAGATAATGAAGTGTAAGTACTGTTATTTCGATTATAATTTTCCTGAAACAGTCAAAATATATTTAAAATTTTTATCTTCCATGCTTTAATCTACAAGAAAATATTCAAATTTAAATAATTAAAATATAATTCATTATATATATATATAATCTATTTGTTAAATACTTAATTTATTTAACATACTTTTTGACTGATATTAATCAACTAGAATTAATCTTAGAATATATACCTTACATTAAAGTCTTATTCTCACCTTTTACTTGATTTTATTAGCAAAATATATCTAATAAATTAGATGATTAAATTAGATGATTTATTTAAAAATGTGAAGATTTTCAAGACTCTTACATTACATTCAACTATACATTCCAAGTTAATCTTATAAAATAAACAAATCTTCTATAATAATTAAAACAGATGTTTTATCTTTTTTATCCATTTTATTGTTTGTTCATTGAGTTAATTCTTTGAAAATTCTAGTTACAACTTTACACAAAATAATTTAAAACAGAATTTCAATTGATATAAGAAATTATTTTCATATATTTCAAAAATTTTTAATAATTAAATTCTAAGATAGAAAATTTGGAGCAAAAATTATTTGCTAGTATCTTCTGTTTCAGAAATAGAAAAAACAATTACTCTATGATGTGAATGGTTTGATTATTTTAAAAAAATGTAGTATAATTGATGTTTCTCTATAATTGTCTTAAAACTTCCCTAAACAACTGAATTCATTTATGATATTTAATGTATTATTTGTCTATGAAATTAAAAATGCCAAAATAAAAAAAAAATAAACAATAGTAATAATGTTACTCTAATGCACAATAACTGAGCCACTCATTTGCCAAATGATTAACTCCCTAAACAAAAAGTAGAGAAATTAATAAAATAATTATTTTTAAAATTTCATTTAAAATTTAAATGTAAGCAAATTGTAAAATAAAAAATAATAAAAGTAAATAAAAAAAAAGCAAACCAATTATTCCAAGGATAAACTACTTTTATATTTTTCACATACTGTAACTAAGGGAATTAATTAATTTGGCTGGTAAATGATATGATATCATTAAATAGGGAAATAATTATATATTGCATTATTAAAATTGCTTTGAAGAAATCCTTAACTTCTAAATATGTTTAATATTTTCTATTTCAAGTAAATATAAACTGTTGTTGTTGTTAGTTAAGTTATGGCAATGCAACACTTGGGTGATCTGCCTGGGGGGGACGGGATGCCTTCCGGGAAGTCTTTTTAAGGGAAACTGGCCCCTATTTAGGCTTTACAGACATGGAGAAAAACCCAGAAAACTCCACGTGGCCAGCCCGTTCAAGCGAGGCGTAAACCCACGATCAAAACTCCCAGTGTTCAGGGTACTAAGACTGCTTGGCCACTGGTGGGCACATAAATGTAAACAATTCTGGAGATATAATGATTCCATATGGATGAAGAGATTAGCTAAATAAATACTCAAGTTTTCAAGAAGCCAGAGAATATTATTTTTATTAAATAAATGGTTAAATTTACTTTATTAAATATTTTTATTATTTATTCATTTATTAAATAAATTTATAAAAATTTAAAAATTTATATAAACAAATTCAACAACATTCTTTGCTTCTTGAAAACTTGAATATTTATTTAGTTAATCACTTCATTTTGTTTTTTACTTTAAGAATAAACCCAGAGTATAATATTTATTAAAAAAATAAAACAAATATAAATATTTTAAATTAGAAATTTAACAAAAATATGATAATTTATTTTTATTAAATATATACACAATATTAAAAAATGTTTCACAGGCTAGATTTTTACGTTTTAAATTAAATCTGACATTTTAAATGAAAATAGTGCTAAGCTTGCCAAAATGGTGGAAGGTGTCAAAGATAATTTTGGAAAACAGGTCAAACTTTCAATGCAATACACACTCACTAAACAAACAAAATTTACAATTTGAAAACAAACATATTCACAAATTTGGTTTATCTACATACAGTTATTTTTGGTATATTTTATACAAATCTACATACTTTAGATTAATATGTATTAAATTTTAAAATTCATATATTTTTCAAAAGAACATAAATAAATTTAGAATGTGATAAAATATAAAATACATTATATATAAAAACAAAATAATTCCTAATCATCAAATATAAAACAATAATTTTTCCTTATAACTTCTGTCACATATTTTTGACATAAGTGAGTGATATTGTGGCAATTTAATAATTGTTAATGATTTATTAAAAGTTTCAATTGAATATAAATTATAAAATTTAGTAGCAATGTTATTGATTATTGAAACCGGTCCTCATTTTGCACATTTATTAAATAACTATTGCTTGAGAGTATGCATTCAAAAACAAAAATAACATTTCTTTAGAAAGAATCCAATCTTCAAAAAATATAGCACATTTCACAAAATTTCATCCCTACACTAGGAAATCTTTTAAGTCATTTTCCCTAACTCTATTAATAAAAAAGAAAAGTTACTCAGTTACAATGGCATATGAACAAGCAGTACTTAAACTTAACTTAGTACAATTAAAGAATTTGGCTGTTTATGAAGGACAATGGTTCCAACCAGAGTTAAACACATTCTTTGCACATTTATGTTACTTTGTTTAGAAGAACATGTAATTTATACATTAAGTTTATAGCTTTGTTGTTACTTATGTATTTATTCTGAAAGTTTATTATTAGTTGTAAATTTAAAAATTTTTAAAGGCACAAGAAAAATTAAGAGACAATTAAATCCATGTAAAATAACAGAAATATTATGGTTTTATCAATATTGTACTTAAGAGTATCATAGTAATTTTCTTCCTACACATTGTACAATTTGTGAATAATATCATCTTGTTCTCATTACTTTTTAATTTTTTCTAGTCATCTACTAATAAACAGAGTGTTTCCCTCAAACTTCTGCAGTTTTAATCTGTTTGCATAAGTATGAGAATGAAATATGTCAGAGAATGTTAATCAATATTTCAAGTTTCATATGCATATGCTTGAAATGGCTGCTATTATCATGCTTGAGCAATCTGGACATCCAGTGCTGCACTTTCTACATCACTGGATTGATTGACATGGCCCCAGTCTTTGCCCCATCTAATCATTGGACGTCACCCATTTGATCTTTGATTTTTGTGGGTATGTCAAGGATGTTATGTATGATACAAAATGCCAGACATGAGAGTCATGTGCACAAGAATTGTGGATGCCATTAACAGTATGACTCCTGGCATGCTAGTTCAAACATGGGCTGAAATCAAGTACAGACTGAATATCCTATGTGCCATGTCAGGTGCATATGTGACAATTAACTGATTTAATATAGTAAGTAACTTTTCCAGATGCACCTTCCATTACCATTGTCTGTACTGTACTCACACTTAATTTTTACAATTAATCCACAAACCTAGGGAGGTTTGAGAACATTTTGTATTATCCTATTATTAATATTTAGTCATTTCTATATCAAGACTTGTAAAATTTTATTTAAAAACTTGTAGAAAATTATCAGACATAAGTGTAAATATAATCATCAGTATTCAATTATAAGAATGAGAATAAAAAGGACTTTCAATAAAAGACATCATTCTTCAATAAAGCTGGTGGTTGCAAAAAGACTCTTAAAAGAATAGTTATTTCCAAACATCAATCATTTTTATTGTAATTCATAAAAGTTTCAGGGAAAATATCAGAATCAATGCAAAGAAACAAATAAATTGGATTAGCATGGCAAAAAAAAATCTTTACTGAACAGATGTTCATTATCAACAAATATGTTTTTACTTAGGATTAAAAACTGAGAAAAACCAAAATTAAATTTATATATATTAATCAATTATAATTATTAATCATGAATTTTTCAATGCTACTTGTAATTGCTGTCTAACCTGGAATAAAAATAACATTGTTGATGTAGTGAATATTTAATTTGCAAATGAATACAGGTATAGAACAAAATAATAGGAACACCCCTTTCGAAATGTGTTGTACTTTGACCATCCAATACAGCCCACCATGTGTCGCAACAGTCTGCCATCCAGTGGTGGTGAAAGGGAAGGTATCAGTCAAGCATTTGGCGGTGTGACAGTTGCATGAGAAAATTCTGTTCCCATCAAAGCACCATTATGTCCGACCTGTCCGATGTGCAAAGAAGCATGATTATTGGAGCTCACTTCGCTGGAGCTCACTTCGCTGGAGCATCCATATCTAGAACAGCCAACTTTATGGGTGTTTCAAGGTCCACTGTGTCAAGGATTATGACAGCCTACACAAAACTAGGAAAGGTGTCCTCTGCAAAACAGAACAGTAAGTGAAAGTCAAAACTGACTGACTGGGATAGATGAGCGTTGAAGAGAATAGTCACCTGAAAACATAAGACTACACTGCAGAAGATAACCTCTGAGATAAACTCCCATCTCCAGAACCCTGTATCCACCAAAACTATTCAACGGGAGCTGCATGCTGCGAGCATTCATGGCAAGGAAGCCATCCCAAAGCCATTAGTGTCACCGCAGAATGCTATGAAGCGACGACAGTGGTGACGAGACCACTGGACACAACAGGTCATCTGGTCTGACAAATCATCATTTATGTTATTTCAGACCACTGGACATGTGTTCGTCTGGCAAACACCAATTTGGCGACCTCACATAATTGATTATGCAATATTGTGCTTCTTACAAGTAATCAACACAAATGGTTCACTTATTGAATGCATGATTAAAATGGTGTAAAATAACACTTTGCTTTAGTGACTTATGGTTTTGTTCTTGAATCACCATATTTTCTGCTAGTTTTTTTCTTTTGCTCTTTCTGTCATGTGGGCACTAAGAAGACCTCTTTCAGCAAGCTCATTAAGGGTTTGGCCAGGCCCACAATAGGGCAGCCAGGTGGTGAGAAGGAACAGGGGAGACATATCTGGTTAGATCACCCCCAAAAAATTCCTGGGGATTTTTTGATCTGTCTGGATTCGATCCCAGGTCCCCAGAGTGGAGGCTGCCACCTCGACCACTCAGCC